ACACACACACACACACACACACACACACACACACACACACACACACAGCTTAACCATTATATTTTACTACTACTAGACACATAAAGCATCTCGAAGAATTAAGACAGGCCTTTTATTACAATGGCTGCTGTCAGGCAGACATTCGTCTGGTTAAAAAAAAATGGGGTAAAATTGCTGTTTTGAATGAAATATTCAAAATACAATAACCTCATGTCATATCATTGTGCATAACTGACAGTAATGTGCATGTCATACTGAGGTTATTTAAGACCGAAATTCTGTTATAATTATGGTAACTTGCATATAGTTGTGACATTTTATTTCATTTGATTGGCTGGGTAGCTGCAACGGCAGTAAATAAAAGCGTCTGCAAGTATTGCCAATTTATTCACAACAGAGGTTAATATAGCATCTCCCAGTGGACAGGGGCCATTGACAGATTGATACCAGAGACCATGCAGAACATTTTAAGGCAATCTGCAAACTTCTATCTTTAATTACCTTGAAAATTAAGGATTTTTGTTGTTGTTGTCGTTATTCTGATTTAGGAAAGATGTAGTTATAAGTTGATGCATTCTAAATGCAGTCTAATTAGGTGATAATGGATGCATCAATCACACACAAATAGAGATACTGCATGACTAAACAAGAACAAACGGAACCAACTACTTGTAGAGGAATGAACACAAGCTCGGTTCACTTACCGAAACCTTTGCATGCTTTCCTGATAGCCTTGATATCAGCGGTGACATCGAAGTCCTCATATGGGACGATGGTGGGCTAGAGAAGGAAAAGCGTTTGAATCATTGGAAATATAAAAAAAAACATTTATAAAATACATGTTTATATGTAGAAATAAATAAATAAATCTAATCATTATCTCAACACATACTTTGAGGAGTCATGTACTATTCATGATAAAATATACACAACAGCAACCTGCAAAATCTGAGATAGTAAATATATACACATAATAAACCTGCTATATAAAGTGAACGCCCTCCACTCAAATAGATTAAAGAGTGGGGCTGTGGAGGCTCCATTACATCACAGTACATCCAGGCCGCAGGAAAAGGGTGCAGCCTGTGTGTGATCGCTGAGTCATGGGGCGGCAGCAGTATGCAGTCTCCTCTCCTCTCCTCTCCTCCTCTCCTCTCTCCTCCTCTCCTCCCACCCTCCGTTTCATACAATGCGGCCTTATTGATCAGCGTTTCTGGTAAATTCCTCCCTGCTGCTGCTCGCTGGGCTCACTCCCTCTGCTCAAATTTACTGCGCAAGTTTTGCTTCTCAGTGCTGACTGTTTACAGACGAGAAGTCTTGTTTTCGTGTCCTGAAGACAGATTACAAGCGCGGTCTGTTGAAAGGCTGTCTGTGGTACAAAAAGACACGTCAGTGGTCTTTTTAATCGTGTTAATTCATGACTGTATGACTTATCAAACCCGATCTTTCAGAGCTGTAAAAGTAGCTGATGCGTGAAGTCGCCCATCGCAGTTGCATTGCACTGATTAAACAGCTTATTTTGGAAGTTACGAAGCTAGAGGAAATCCAGTTGTCCTACCTGCACGTTGCCCATGTTGTTCCAGAGCACTCTGTCGTGTTGTAAAGTGACAAACGGGAGCCGTGTGCGTCCTGGAGTGTTGTGCTGCTCTGTAGTTGATGTGATGCGTGTCAACTCGGGTCGGATGTTCCTGAAAGGACTCAGCCCTGTCCGGTGCGGCGGGGGTGACGTCACTGCCGTGTTTTTATTTGGTAGGAAGAGAGGGGAGGTGAGGGGAGGGGGTCTACTATAATATAATGGACTCGCTGAAACATCAACTAGATGGATTGGTTCTTTTGAATTATTTGAATTAATTTGTATTTGTTTTACTAGTACTCATGTGCTTGTACTCAAGTAGCCTCATTGGGTATGCCTACTTGATCTATTTATTTGTTTATTTGTAAGGGAGAAGTACCGAGGAACATTGACAGTTGCAGAAGCAGTGTCTGAAGTCGCTTAAAGCTAACTCACCAGTTGTCACAGTCAGCTCCACACTCTACCTGTCAGCCACTCCCTCCTCATCAGTCTAACTCCCTCCAACCGGTTCACTCACCTGCCTCTGATCACTAATCAAGCCACTATATAAACTCCTGCCTCTCAAACACTCATTGCTAGATTGTTCTACTTGCTATTCCATGCCAGGCTTTAACCCGGACTGATGTCCTGTTGGCGACCCTTCCTGACCCTGATCTACCCGCCCCGTCCCGCCTGACTCCCGGTAAACTCACCAGCCTTCTGTTCCTGACCTGGATTACTTCTGCTCTGCTGCTTTGCCAGAGATGTTGATGTATCAGTCTGTATCTGTTAAGTTTATAATAAAAGCCAACAGTTCCTGGAATGTTGTGTGCTGCAATTGGGTCCATATACAATCCGTTACACCAGTCCCTTGGTGGGCATTGATAAGTTCTCGTTAAAAGTACATAAACAAGAACAAACAAAGCAGAATGCACAATGACTTGGGTACACAAGTTTTCAAAATGTGACTGTTATTGACATGCAATGCTACTTTAAACCTTTACTCCACTACTTTTTAGATGCAACTATTACTTTTGACCGGACTACTTTTTTTTTTTTTTTCCATTGTAATTAAAGATATACAAAAGTAATGCAGTAATGTTTACACAGAGTAGGCTACATTTTAATTTGCCTACTTTTTAAACATTTCTTTTAACTATCCATACTTTAAGTATCACATTCTATACTCTTTTCACCTCATGGTTACCAGTCACTTAGGAATTATTGTTATTGTGTAGAAAATGAGCATCTTATAAAATATGATGGTTTGTACAATGAAACTTCCAAAGAGTAACCCAAGAAAGTTATTGTTTTAAGATTAGCTCAATGTCAAACAGGTAAAACATTAAAATGCTGCTTAAACCATAATACATCAGTAATAATAGTTTCCATTAAATATGTAGAATTGTGAAAGCATACCTTATGGAATATTTAAAAAAATGTGATGTGTTTTTTAAAAGTAAAGTCTGTTTCTTGCACTCGATCCCTGAAATATAGCCCTCATTGATTCTCAAATCTACACTAAATTATGATTATATCAAATTCATTCAGACAATAGTTGACTCCCTGTCTTAGGAAGGCTGCATCATCCCCTGTTGTTAGGTAATTATCATGCTTCTATTTTGAGAGGTAGCAGAAGTATTCAGATCTTTTACTGATATTAAAGTAGCAATACTCCTTTACAAGTGAAAGTCCTGCATTCAAAAGGTTTACTCAAGTAAAATTATCATCAGCAAAATGTACAAAAGATTAAATTACATAAGTACTTCACTTACAGTACTTGAGTAATAGTTCCCTTCCTCCACTGACTAATCTAGACATGAAGAGTCTAATTGTCCTCATGGTGGCAGTGTTGCACAGGCTGCTACGATAGAACTAGAACTCATTTAGTTGTATTCCAGATGTTGCAGACAGGAGCAGCAGGTAAGGTTGAAATAGTAGAGGATGTGTTGCTTTGTATTGAAGAGCAGTTTTTCAACCTTTTTTTGAATATTTTGAAATGTTGGTTGTGATGTGGATTGTTTTGGTTTTATGGAAAATGTAGATTCCTCTTGTAAATTTCAGTATCTACAGCGAGTAAATGTGGTATTTGGAAAGAAGTATTTAAAACATATGATGACGTTGTTTTATATATGGTGATCCATCGATGACTGATCAATGGACTGCATGTACGGAAACCACAAACCCTGATGACGTTAAGATAAAATGTTTTCTTGAGGTGATTCAACCACAGTGCACGAGAGAGGAGTTGGACAACGTGTTTTAATTTGGACAGACACTGGCAGCAGGTCAAGATATTATTATTATTATAAACCTTTCACAAACAATATTGAAAAGACCAAAGATATGAAAAGCAAACTGGGGTTTTATAGAAAGATTTAATCCAGAATTGAGAACGGGGCATTGACTGAATGTACATGCAACACAATATGAATGTACAATATAAATACTCCCATGTGGACGCCACAACATTTTGTAACTTTTTGGAGCAACACATTACAGTATAACTAGCATAAAATACATTTAGTGGGCAAGTTGCAACATTCCATTTCATACAGCCTAAAACCAGCCGATTGAAATAAACGTGTGAAAGTTAGAGTTGCGGTTATTCATGTTCATGTTTATTACTTTATGGACGCTTGATGAGGTTATCTTACACACGACAACGTCTGACATCTATATCTGTGCTCCTAATTCCCCTTTAAGTATTTCACAATATATGCAATGATTGTTATGCTTTCTGGTGACTCTGAGTGTATCATTACTCTGGTATTTTCTCCGTCATGCACACATAACCGTAATGAAGCTGAACCGACTACCGTGTGTGGCTGCATTTCAGTAGGGTGCAATTTGGTGGGTGGTTTATTAACAGGACAGAAAGGTGGTCTGTTGTTGTTGTTGGAGATGACGTTAAAATGTTAAATTACTCATCTTCTGTTCGCGATAAAGTGGCAAATAAAAAAAGCTTTGGTCATGCATAGTTGTGGTTTTAACGATTGAATATGTGGAACGCTTTGAAGGAAAGGTGCTTTCAAGCAGATGTAAAATGGGCAACTAAGTGACAGCGGGAAAAAAAATGCATTATTCACATCGTCCTCCCTTGTCAGTCTTGGTTTCGGTCCCTGAAACAGCCTCTTCTGAGAAGGGACATCCAGGGCACGAGTAGCGAGTAAACTGTAAATAAATATCAACCGAAGGGAGAGCCTCATGGATATTTTAGTACTGCGCCACTACATGTAACTGCACGCCATTTTAAATATGTACGTACATTATTGATGGCAATGCACATCATTTCAAAAGCCTTGTGTGTGTGGTATGTAAGGAGACGCATATAAGCAACAACATCAAAAATGACCCTGTCACAGTTGAGTACAAGTTAACCAATGAACATTTAGTTATTGGATGCTTGATAGCTTGCCACATGCAATGGCTTTTCTAGAAAAATACCTACTGTATATTTTACTGAAACATACGGCTTGTCTCTTATTTTAAAATCAAGCTGTATTACAATCCTTTTGTTATTCCCATGTTTCACTAATCAAACAGATCATTTTCATGCCATGAATTATGGCGTCACAGCTGTGTCTGGGGCTTTGGTCCTGCTTCTCAGAGCTCGTATCATATTGTTTCCTTAGGTCTTGTTTGTCGCTGCCGCCTGCTTGTTTTTCTATCATCAACATCTGACGCATCAATCTCCACTGGCTTATTGCGTAACGTAGACTATCATCAGCGTAACGGGAGACGATAAGCTCATCAGGCGACGCGTTTACTGTGTTTGTGACTGATGATTGTCTCACCTGCTGGTAAAATACAGATATGATTCATTTTTCAAATGACCTTGATGTACTCAATGTGATACAACATACAATGTAAGGCTGACGAATGTGCAAGCAAAAGTGTAGACTAAAAATTCCTCTAAAGTGACTTCAAAGTTGCATTCACTGCAATGTAACGACGACATGTTGGTTATTTAGCAAGTAGTTATGTTTAGATTGCATCAATGGACGGCGGAATAAATGTTCTTCTCCTTGCAAAATCTTTTTTTTTTTTTTTTCCCACTTAGGTCATCCAGAGAAAAATGTTCTTGTCAAATGCAATCTAACATCTTTGTCGTTCGGTAGCTCTGCCCTCTGTGCTGTCAGTCTGTGAATACAAAAACAAATACAATGCAGTCATCACAGCAGTCATCATGCCCTCTCCCCAGAGTCTTGCTCCTGAATGTCCCAGGGGCAAACATCAGCCACCTTTGCCCTGCTGATGACTGCAGGTTTGTCACTAGTACTCGAAGAGCTCTCTTTCTTCTTCTCTGTGGATTTCTTAGTCTGAGCAAAGCTGGTGTGCGAGGGCTCGGTGTCCCGGGAGAAAACCTCCGCCCTCCTGATCTCCATCACTTCTGGGTCTCTGGTCGAGCTCCTCCGCCGCTCAGAAACCGGCCCGCCGCACTCTGACGACTGGCTAACGCGCCTCCTCTCCGATACCGGCTTGCTGGATGAGCTCCGTCTTTCTCTGCTCTTCTCCCTCGCTTTCTCCTTCTCGGCTTTGTGGTTGGACGAGCAGGAGCCTTTCCGCTTCTTCTTGTGTGTGGTGGGGCTGTTGCAGGACTTCTCCTGCTTAGGCGAAGGTGGGCCGTTGTAATCCCACGGGCAGATCTCTACCATCAGGGAGGGAGGCTGCAAAAGGCTCCCTGTGGACTTGGAGTGGTCTGAGTGGAGCACCTTGGGTTTCCCATCAGTGGGCGTGACACTTTTCTTACCCCTGATCCTGTCTGGGGAGATGGAATCGGAATCTCCTCCCAGCATGGGCTGCTCATCGAAGTCCCAGGGACACACGTCTGGCTTAAGAGGGAGCGGTGACTTGGGTGGTCGAGGTTTCCGTGCTTCCCTGCCTTCCTCCCTTTCTCCTCCTTTATCTTTGGAGCGGCGTCTGTTGGAAGGGGACTGCCCCGCTTTCTGCCTCTGCTGGGACCGGCTACCTTTGCTGATTCCAGAGCCGCTGCTGCCTCTCCGGTCTGTGGTGGTTTCTTCAGGAGCAATGGAAACATGTTTCTGGGCCTTTGCTTCAGAGGGAGTCTGCTGTTCTTCCAGCTCCCAGGGACAAACCTCGGACACGTCGTAGAGGTTCCTACCCGTCTCGGAGCAAATGGATGGCTGGCTGCCACTCACCTGTTAAAGTCAAACGATAAAATATCCACCCAATAAGTTACCTGTATGCTCTGTTAATCAAATTATTAGAGAGCTAGAATGTCCATAAGCTTTAGCTTATGTCTTCAAATGGCTTGTTTTGCCTGACCAATGGGCAAAAACTAAAGAGACAAAACTAATTTGCTCCATTTGCTCACTTTTTCCAGCGTTTTCAAATGCATTTCAAGACCTTCGTCAGAGCATACATTTGCTCAGTTGTCATGGAGATGTCTTGGTTGTATTAACACGAACCAAGTATGTACATTCTCACATGAAAACAAAGGCCTTTTGATGATTTACAAATTGAATGTTGACTACAGCTGCTGCATCTCAATCTCAGGAGCCTGCCTTTAAGGTGTACCAGCAGAGAACAATTTGTTCTAAATGCTGACGTTCTATAACTTAAAGTGGCTATAATCAATATGTTTCACATTGACAATGGATCAAATATCAAATGACTATGTGACATACGCACGGATATATATACCACCCAACTCTTTAGATCAGTCTCTCTCATCAGTGTTCCAGCAGGGCAGCTGTTTTCAGTAAAAGTCTGGTGAACTGTACATTACCTTCACAGCATTATATGGCAGACAAAAGTCAGCAACTAGCTGGTGAACATAGTGCAGAATTTATCAGCTAAAAGGCTATTTATTTCCCCCAGACATTTGTGGAGACCAAAACGGAGCTAAAAGTAGAGTGAGAATTGGACTTAACCCAATAATGCTCCGTCTGCTTTCTGTAAATAGGCATCTGTTGGCTAACAAAATGGCTTTGCCATATGAGCTAAAAAAGTGATATAAGTGTTGTGTTTACAGCTTGGTTTAAACCTGGTCTAACGTCTAGCCAGTTTTCTCATTATCCACTTGTCTTTGTTGGCCAGAGAAACGCATAAGAAACAAGCCCCAACTCAATCCCTCTATCATCCTCCTCCTCTTCCTCCTCCTCTCTAATGTCCTGATCTGTGTATAAAGGTCTCCATCCTCTAAGATGGTATTAGCATTTCTGTAAAAAGCTGGTAAGTGGAGGTTAAGATTTTGAGTTATGAGCTACTATTTCCATGGTAAAGATTACATTTTTGATCAAAAGGTATTTTATTCAAAACAATTAAACAAAACCTCAGATTTGAGGAGCTGTTAAAACAGAATGTTTAGTATTTCTTTCACAAATTACTTATTTAATCTGGGTAAAGGAATGCCCAAGGCCTGGTGATAAATTAGAAGGTTAATCGTTACCCATTACCCAATTTTCTGTGGATGGACTAATTGATAACGTAAGTAAACATTTCATCACTAGAGCTAAATAACATGGTAATGCTTTAATCAATTTGGATTTGGAATGTAAATGTTAACGGTACCTGTTGTTTCATGATTCCCATCTTCATGGGTGTCTTGGAGTACTCCACTGACTGACTAATGATCATCTTGGGGTAATGCTCAGGGGTCTCATCCACCTCGGACAGCATCCTCTCCTCCTGTCCCTTCGGACCCTTCTTACTGGCGTCCTCCACGCTTTGGGTCTTGATGGTCAGCCCCGGCATTTTCTCCTTGGCGCTCGCAATCACACTCAGAGACTTCTGCATGATGGAGGTCCGCAGGTGGACGGGTTTCTTCTCGTGCGTCAAGTTGTGAGCGCTGGCCGATTTCCAGAACAGTGGAACAGACTCGGTGGACTCGGCTGGTTCCAGTCTCGGTGGGTTAGCAGATGGTTCCAGCTGCTTCTTGGTGTGTTTCCGGCCAATCAGAGAACCCAGAAGAGATCCTTCCCCACCGCCTCCAACGGGAGTCATATTGTCTCCTGCAGTCGAGCCAGTTTGACTCGCAGTTTCTTCATCCTGGTCACAAACATGGTCATAGCTGAGCGACTTCTTCAAGCCTATGACTTTGTTCTTCAGGGAGTCATCCCGAGGTTTGCCTGAGGAAAGATTAAAATGGCATCAAAGCGGAATACATTTACTGATACGAGTATCATTTTTAAGTGTTGCTCGCAGCCACACTGCTAACTTTCAGACGTGTTGGGCATTGGCCTGGGGTGGTTAGGGTCAGGGAAGACCATTGGTCAGGGCAGAGGACCTGAACAAGTTGGGTTACCGTTAACTTATGCAAGCATGGATGCCTGGCCAATCCTAGCGCTTGCATGCTATGCAGGGTGTGTCTTGCCAAGAAAAGCAGTGGGATTCATAATAACACTGTGTTTCTATGGTTGGTGATATCTGCCCATCCGTCAGTCATTCTGCCACTTTGGTCCAGACTGAAATATCTCAGCAACTGTGGTCAAAATTACACGATGGTCAAAATATTAAAAAAAATTAGTTTATTTCTCTATTTTGGTTTGGGGACAAATACCTGTGAATTGGCAAGTGTTGGTGTGCTAACACACTAAACAATGGTATGTGTACAATGCTGTTTACATACTAATAGGCCGTTCACACAGAAATAATTTTGACGTGTCACAGTTGTAAAAGATAACATCAAAGATGGCTGAATTCCATTCAGCTGCTTCAGTTTCAGGGTCCAGATTGAACAGGTGGAGCCATGATCTCACCGTGATGACTCGGTTCAAATGGGTTTCTCCTCAAGGTGCTGCGGTTGCTGCCGTGTTCGCTGTCGTCCTCACGACTGCACTGCCGGTGTATGTGCATGCTCTCTGGGATCTCCGTTATCCGCTTCATCAGGGAGCGACCCAGACCCTTCTTGGAGTTGCGTTTCTTTTGGAGGTGAGGGTTGTTGGCTAGCATCTTCTTATGTTTGTAGACTTCCAGCTGGGCATACAGCTTCTTCAACTCATCCTGAAAACAGCAGTGAGACTGTAAATGCTGGGCCTCTTTTGAATAAATACATTGATACATTGACTTCCAGGTGTACACACATTTAGAATCATCTTGCTATGATTCTAAATGCTACTTTACCCGTATATCCTCAGGGTCCAAGCTGTGCTCACTCCAGGCCGAGGTAATGCTGTTGTTGAGGTAAGAGCCAGACCTTCCCATGTCCAGCTCCTCCTCGTAGGCCTCGGTGGCAATATCATCCCTGGCCTGAGTCCCTTTGGACAGGAACTAAGACAGATGGAGAGCAAGGTTAAATAATGGTATCACTGGGCCTGCTGGAAGGGTGAGAAAAAGATGTCAAATTGGAAATGTAGTTCCTCCAACAATATTACTCAGGCTTATAGTATGATCAGATTTATTGTATGACAGAATAAATATGTTGGCTGAAGGTCATTGGAGGTAAACAAAATTCCCTGCAGCAAAAATATTTACTGATATAGATCTCATATAATGAAAAAGTTACCTTCCTAAACTTAAAGAAATGACAGGCAAACAAATATGAACTGCAGAATACAGAACAATGAACACTACATGAGATTTGCCTTTTTCTAGATTGTGTATTTACTGTGTTCTTGATTGCTGCATTCAATAATTACCACTAAACTAAATACATGTCTCCAATGTCAAGTTGTCTTAATGCAAGTTGATCCTCCTCCTGTTGACTGCTGGAGCAAACACAGCAATATCAACAGTTTGATTATTGTTATTTTTGCTGGCACTAATTTCCTCCTTGATTAAAATAACACATTTATTTAAGAAGAGAAAATAATCTGTTTGATTTTGACTTTTCAGAGCCAACTTATTCATCTTTGCTTCAGAGAAACCAAATATTTAACCGAGATTCAGGAACAGAAGCGGTGTGAGAAGAACATCCTCCCATTGTGCTTAATTATCCTTGTGTGCTCAACTGACTTATACTTCTGAGGGGCCTAATTAAGAAACGATGAAGGAACAGAGAGCGCTGAAGGTGTATTGCATTCCTTACACAGCAGGATAATTAAATGTTTTCCATCAGACTTGAGAGATTGCACATAAAGACACCCACGGGAGTGCTTAGCTAAATTACAGTAACTACTAATGCTATTTGAGTTTAATGGCAGCAAATGTGCCTGTTTGCCTCTGTGTGTATGTTGTGGACCGCTAATATCAAATGAACTTAAGACGATTAATGGACTATTGTATACACAAGCTACAGTACAGCAGAAGCCATTAAGGAAATCTCTCTGTACTCAATGTAACCTCCTTGACAATTGCATTTTCTAAAAAACGGTCTCGTAAGAAAGAAAAGTATACGACTGCTGCACTGATCTTATTGATGCAGCACTTTCTGTAAGAGCTGCTTCTCCTCTGATTAGTTTCCCAAACAAAATACCTGAACTCTATGCCATTAAATACGTGCCGATATTCTGAGCAAGCAATGACACATTTTGAGCAGAGAAATGTTACGTAAGCACTTAAATTTTTTTTATAAAAAAAAACAGTATTCAGATCCTTTACTCAAGTACCACTTCAACAATGTAAAAATATACTAGTTGCAAGTGAAAGTCCTGCATTCAAAATCTTAGGCAAAAGTATTATCAGCAAAATATATTTACAATATTTTTAGTAAAAGTACTGATTCTGCAGTAAGATGGCCTTTGTGACTAATAAATTATACCCAATTAGGTTGCAAGAATGTACTGTTGCAGCTGGTTGAGATGGAGCGAGTTTATCTACTTTAGAAACAGTTTGTTTTGTCCAGTGGTTTCAAACCTACTGCGGCTGGCCCCTCCAAAGGGTTACAAGATGCATCTGAGGGGTTGTTAGAGTAGTTGTTAACTCTTTTTTATGATGAAAGAAGAAAGAAAGAAAGTTGTGCTAAACAAATTTTGTACTAATTTTCTGGACTATATAATATTTGCTCTCATTGGTGAAACTACAGACATCCTCGTCATCTGAAACATGACGAGGAACCCCAATCACAAGTCAAATGGTTGAGAACCAATGATTAAATCTTAGCTTTGTCTGTTTTTGTTTGTAAAATCTCAATATATAAAGTAACTAATAACTATATATGTCAGATAAATGTAGTGGAGTAAAAAGTTCAATGTATTGCTCTGAAAGGTGAAGGAGTAGAAGTACACATACAATAGATATACAGTATGGTGTACAAGTACCTCAAACTTTTGCTGCCCGCACATTTACTTCCAACCACTGACCCACAACCCAGTAAACTAATACCTGACATGGTTCAAGGGGTGTTACCTTTGGAACGAGCAGCAGGCCCAGAGTCACAGTCACAGTCAGATGAGTGTGAGCAAAGAACAACATGAGCATCCAGTCGGGGTGAAGCCCCGGCACCAGAGAGAACCTGCAGAAAGACATAAACAGGAGAAATTCTGTTCATTCACTGGCACTTTATCAAAGCCATGAATCGAGTACTCGGTGAAATATATTCAGACGCGCACAGACATTAAAAGCAGCTTTTAGTGATTCTTGAGAACAAAATGTAGGCTGCTACTACCCCAGAGGCAATCACTACTTCAAAAACTGTACAGAGACATAAAAGCAAATCGGAGGGGAAATGATAAAAGTAGCAGAATATAGAGCGCAACAGTGATCCCCAACTTTTTGAACGTCTCCGCTCTGGAAGGGAATTAAACTTCATTCACTCCATTGTCGTTTCAAAGAAAGAGTTTTTAACCTGGAACTAAGCCAACCAACATGAGATGAATAGCAACCATAAAACATTTGTTTTCGAATAAAAAAAGAAAGAAATTGGAACAATGGAAATAAGCCAAAGGTACAAGGATTGTGTACACAACTATGTTAAGAGTGAAAGAAGCAAGTCGTCCCATTAACCATTATGAATGATACCTTTCCAACCAAGTCCAAAGTTACTGTTATCTACACAAGTACCCAACAAAATATATATATATATATATATATATATATATATATATATACACACACACAAAGCACAAGTGACCAACAATAAAATAAGAAAGAAATGTCTATATTCTAGTCAAGTGTTCTGTATATTGTAAACAATACACATAGTGTACAGTGTGTACACATAAAGGAGTCTATGTACTGTTTGACAGATGATACATAGTAAAAAACATGTTGTGCATTAAAATCTGTAAGATTATGATCCATAACGGCAGCAGTAAATATCTTGGTGTTAGAGGATAACTAACAGTGCATGACTTTTTTTATTTGTTTCTTCTGCAGGAAGAAACTGTTCTCTCTGGTTGTTTTGGCGTTTTCAGCGTCATATGTAACGGAGGCTGTAACATTTCCCCATAGATTAACAGTGATCCACAGCTGGTCACAACATATGGAATTATACTAGCTGGCTTGGTAGCATGTCAAATGTATCGTACGTTTCTGCTGAGGCTGCTGAGGCTACAAACATCTGGTCTCTGGCTGTGTAATGACCTGGACACTACACAGAGAAACTACGGTAAGGATAGTAACCTAACATACCCTTGTGCATCTCCTCAAATGGTATCCCAGATAATGGCCTCCACCCAAACACAGACTTCATGTAGAATCTAGACTGATGTGATTTTGTACATCCTTGCTGCCCTTCACTGGCTGACTGATGACTTTCAAATTGATTTTACTGCTCGTATTTTAAAGCCTGGCATGGCCGCTTATATTTGTAGTCTGATTGAAATCCTCTGGTAGGCACAGGATAAAGTATAAGTCCCTATTAAAAAACAATCGTTATTAATCGTCAGTTTGCTGTTTCACCTTATTAAGTATCTCATTTAATTTGAATCTGTTGCCGGTATTTTTATACAGAAGCAATTTGTCACGTTTTAAAAAGTGCTACACAAAAAAATGTATAGGGCTGAACATAGACGTTTGTTTTCTTCCAATGTCTGAAAAACACCAAAGAAGTATTTTTTTTTTTTTCAAAGGAATTGTGTCCCATTTCTGTCAGTACTGACTCAATCCAGACATGTGCAGCTCCATGTCAAAGCTCACAGCAGCAACGTTCTTTCCAACTTGACATCATTTCCATTATTGTGGCAGTTTTTAATCATAGTTTGTATTGTATTCACAATACAAGTACCAGCACAGGTTATCACTCCAATTATTGCTGGAAAATATGAAAAGAACACAAAAGCCTCAATAGGCTCTAACAATGGGCGGCTTTTTGGCACCAATTTTCCACAACCAATCAACTCCAGACTCCATGACAGATACATCAATCGAACTATTAGGCAGTAGCAGTATCAAGCTGAGTTAAGTGTATTTCGTCCAAAGTCTGTGAAAGATACCTCTGCGCTTCTGTGTGTGTGTGTGTGTGTGTGTGTGTGTGTGTGTGTGTGTGTGTGTGTGTGGTGTGCGTGTGTGTGCGTGCGTGCGTGTGTTTGTGCACGCGTGCATGAGACAAAGTTATTTCCTTAAAGTTTCTCAGAGATCCACCAAGGTGGCTCAGAGGTTGTTGGTCCTTCGTCATCACGCCCAGAAATCACATTCATAATACAAATTAGATATCGAAAAGCATTGTGTGCGTGTGTTTTCATCAACCCTACCCCATTGCACACACGCGCGCACACACACACACACATCCCGCTCAAGTCCAGCCTTATCTCCGGGACGCAGGAGAAAAAAGAAGAAAAAAACACTTTTGTTCTATTCCCCAGCAAGCGGCGAGCGAGAACAGCTTGATTTATAACAGTTTCACTCCACTGATGAAGGTGTACCCATTTGACTTTTCAGTTTCTCAATAGATTAAAAGAATGTGATCTTTTACTTTTTGTCCAACTGAGCACAATAGGGCGCTGCATAAATGAAAGAATATTCAATCACCAACAGTTTTATCGGAGGAAGTGTGACAAATGGAATTTTTTCGCCGCCAGGCTGCTGCAGACGTAATATAAAAGAAACACCCGACAGGTTTTATTCCCACTGCAACAGGATTGACAAAGTATTCTTTGCTTTAGGAGTCTTTTAAAAATGTAGGTGCTACTACTTCCACCATTCTTTGAACAGTTCTGTTTTTTTCAACTCGGATAGTCAAAACCGATATTCAGACATAGACTCATAAAACACAGTTCATAAGCTTATTGAAGCAGTAAATAAGCTCCATGAGAGCCACACAGGAAGTGTGCCTCTCAGGTAATAGTTGTAGGTGAGTCAGGATCAGGCGGCAACCTGCAGCGCTGAAAAGTGAAGCAGAAGTGCCTTGAATTTGCATTTTTTTTTGCCAGGGACGACTCATTTGGTTGTAAAAATAAGTCAGATTGTATACAAGTCTGGAAGAAAAGGACTCTATTTCTAACTTTATTTACTACCTCAGTAAACATTGTAAACATGAGTTTATGGTCTCAATTGCTAGTTTCAAGTCTTCAATAAAGCATGATGTTGCTACCGCGGCGTTGTCCGGTCTGGGAGTTGTCCATGATTTTGTCTTAGAAGTTCAACCCTTTCATAGTGTGTTAATTGTGACATTGTAACATTTGTGGTCGTTTAAAAATGTCTTACTCGGCATTCAGTTTTACTTAACTTCACCCTCTCGTGGCACTTCTGCCAAAAGTCAAGATGGCAACGGCCAAAATGCTAAACTCAAGGCTTCAAAACGGCAATCCACAAACCAGTGGGTGATGGCTCGATGACTACGTCCACTTCCTGTATACAGTCTGGTCAGATTTTTCTTTTCAAATCATTTACAATATAATTTACGGGTGGGCAAGTAATGCATTGTTTTACAAACCTTCCACATGCATTTAATGATAACAAAAGAAGAGTTTTTCTTTACCCTCAACTGTGTCACTACTCAACAACATTGTGAGGTGAAAACATGGATCGCATTCAAGTTTCAAGTCTCCGCATCTGATTTCCATGCAACAGACATGAAAAAGGCTGCCTAAAGGTACGGAAATAACATTCATCAAACCAGCCTCCAGTATGTTTTGCATTTGACACAGTTTGTCTTCAAACGTGTGATTATATTTCCATCCAAAGCAGGAACTGTTGAGACGTTTAGCTTAGCTTTGAGACAAACTAGGTTTGTAAAACTTTGTAGCCTAATCTGTTGCTGCATTGTTTTGTGTGAGAAATGGCACAGAGGTAACTAAAACATTGGCAAAAGATGCTATTTTTTTGCCACATGGGGGTTAAACAAGCTGAAAATAACATATTATTTATCAAAGTTGTCATGGTTAGCTAATAGTTGCCTTATTACACTTCTACATGGAAGTGTAATAAGGCATGGAGCAACATTAGCATTCATTTGGAGTCGTGTTTTTGTCCACCTGATGAATGTAAGTCCAATACACTCTCCTTTTAAGCTCTGTTTTGGTCTCCACCACTACTCCCGACCTATATATCTAGGGCTTCAGCTGCTAAATGCCCCATTATCTTCACTAGAGACTGAATCAAAAGTGTTGTGGGCCCTGAAACTAAAGCAAAGAGTCAAAGATGTTAAAAGGCTCCAGATAACTTTGGGTGAAAGCTCTCTGTGAGTTTGCTGCTTAAATCAGAGAACCCCTTTCACATTAGCCTATACATTTACAGTATTGGTTCCATTGTTAATATCGAATCATTTTTGATAAGTGCAGCTTTAAAGTCAGAACTATGATACTGATTCTTCCTGCCCATGTGGAATTCAAGAAATAATTCCATGACCTATTATCACGTCAGGTTTTGGGAATCATTTAGCTTAGTCAAGGTATTGTAAAGCAAATACATGACGATTAGATGAATAGACGTTCAAAATCCATGTTACAAAGAGTACATTTGGTTACCTGCCACTTGTGACAGTAAGACTGTGGTTTAGGGCCACAGAGGGTTTATTTTGGACTCTGGCACAGTAGAGCTGAGTGCTGTGTCTCTGCCTGGGGAAGACATTTTTTTATTCACCTCCCTTCCACTTGCTCTGCTGACGCTGTTCATTTCCCTGATGAAGGGGGCGGGTGGAACTCTCTGCCTTATATCTGACATGTTCAGCATTTGTAATGCCCTGCTCTAACACGCAAATATCTCTATGATTATGATTAAACAACGGCTGCAAGAAGGGGTAAAGTCGTCTAAGCCCCTTGTCATTGTTCAAGCTATTTCCTCATTACTGTCGCAGAGATGTTCATCAAGAATAGTAAGACCATTGTTCTTCCCCTTTTTAGATTTTCTGTCAAGACATAATTATTGCCATTCACTTCAGGCCAAGCGTACTGTTCTTCACGCGCACTCGTGCCCGTTCCACCCGTTTCCCTCACCTACCTGATGATGTGGAAGATGGCGGATATGAGGAGCTCATTGTAGATGGCCACAGCCATGTAACGTGGCTCGTGGAAAGCCGAGGGTACGGTGCGGACTGCGTAGCAGAGGTACACCCCCCACAGCAGGAACAGGAACTCCGCTGGGACAAACAAACAGAAAGGTCACGGGGAGGGTTGGAGGACGGATTTTAAGGCTTTATTGTCTTTAATTAATCATTTTCCAAATTTGATTTAGTGTCATTAATTAAATCGTTGTATACCCCGCAAGCTGGAACAAGCCTACATAATCCGAAAAGTATTTTTATGTATAAAATGCCTCCCTTGAGATTGGAAATTTTTCTCCCTTTTCAAAGTGCCAAACTCAATGAAAGCTTAACAGTTATAGTTCAATCATGTCTCTGAGTTAAATACAAAAGCTGGAGCTGGGAGACGTGTAAAGACGGGAAACAGATGTAAAGGGCGAGCCTGGCGCTCTCTAAAGTTACTAAACATGCCCACCAGTGGTGAGCACAGATTATTTGAGTATACTGCAGGGCGCTGTACAGGCATGATGGTACCAGACTGTGACAAAAACACCCATAAATATATATATTTTTGTATTATTTATTATTAACTTTTCTGTTTGTGTATTGATTAAACAACTGAGACACATGTTAAATAGTCAGCTTTAAAAGGTGCTGGTAGGCAGATTTTGCTTCACCTTTGGACGGAGCCAGGCTAGTTGTTTCCAGTGTTAATCATCTCCCGGCTCCTCATCATCCCACTCTCAAGAGAGAAATTTCCAAAAACGTATCTCTGAAAATGCTAAACTGTTCCTTTGAGCATTGATTTAGTCTCCGTTTATATTATGTTAAATGATAGCAGCACTGTTGCTCTGACATGTTGGATGCAGAGTCACTGCGATAGTAAACAGCAACACTGTTAGTCATCGCGCACTGCATGAAACAAAGATGTTGAAAGAAGTTGATTGTTGACGTTCAAGGCAATAATTTGGCAAGAGTTCCCCGTGTTTCTGCAGTGTTTCCTTGACAATGTGTTGACACTTTACTGCTGTCATCTGATCTCACCGAGGTCACACAGCCCGACTGCAATTTTACAGAAAATATGTATTTAGAAAATGAGCTGCTGTCAGCATTATCAACGTAATTCAAAATATACTGGACATTATATGTGCACAGATTTAGGGTGGCTGCGTTTTGGAGGTATGAAATTATGTCTTGAAGCAGTCTGATGGCTCTTATATTTGCTGCTCTTTGGTGAAGAACAAAATTATGATTCTTGCTTTAAAAAAACCTTTACTTTCCGTTATAATATGCTGCATAGAAAAATGTCAAATGAGCGTCACCAAGTGAGAGGTTTTCCTCTGATGGTAAGCTCAATGAGCTTGTTGTTTTGTTTGCAGACATAAAGGAGCACCAAAAACGGTGCCAATACTGTGTGTTGGCACATGAGTCCTTAAAGTCCTTATGGTGATTACAGACCATTAATATTCATGAACAGGCCCAGTCTATAAATCATCACTAATTACTTGGTACTTAGCCTCTGAATCAGGATGCACGAAGAGCTGCGTGAAAGAAGAAAGGGATAACGATTCCAACTAATGCAGATTCATTTCAGATTCAAATGAATTGCTTATTGTTGGCAATATCAATATTGTTTGGCTTCAGCTTCATTTCGCAACGCATTTCAAGACAAAATAGAATGAATTATTAATTTCCAGACAAACATGTGTTCCCTTGTCAGCATTATAATAAAACAAGTGAAAACACACAAAAAAAGGAATTAGTTTGTTTTTTTTCTTAAGCATCGCATGCATTGTTAAAATCCTCCAAAGCAGCTTTGCAGGGTGCTTCCTGTCCTTCAGTGTAGCCTCAGCACACCCGTGTGTTCTCACTGGTTGTCACAGTGAACAGCGGGGATCCCTCATTTCATATCTTGTCTTGAACACAAATACACAAATACGCACTGACCCGAACGGAGGGATTGTTGTGCTCTACGTGTTTCATTCCATTTAACTGCGATTGTGGAAAGCTGTCACGGCAAGAACACACCGTCACTTCCTCTGAAGCTGCTGCGTTACTCAGTCGTGTCTCTTGAGTGTCCCTTCACCAGCTCCCTCTTCTTCTTCTTCTTCTTCTTCTTCTTCTCTTCCTCTCAAGTTCTCCCCCTCCTTCTTCCCCAGCTGGTGAAAAAAACTCTCTCTGCATCGTTTCCCACATCCCTCCAAGCTTCATACTTCACAGACTCCACTCTTCTTATTCCCTGCCACTTCCGTCTCTCTCTCTCTCTCTCTCTCTCTCTCTCTCTCTCTCTCTGTGTCTGCCTGTCTATCAGTTTACAGAGGCAGACCAAGCTTCTCTCAGGGATCCATCCTTTGCCTCTTTCCAAACAGGATTAGTCTCCCCTGCTGTCAGACCGGCTTCAGTGAGGTGCCCATCACTGCCTCCTCTGTCATTAGGAAGCTACTGTTAGCACACACACAAGGCCCTTTGGGTACTCACCGGATACATGAGGGAAAGGACCTGAAACTTCTCACCGATGCAATCACTCTTAATGCTTCTTAGCTTGACAGTGTTATAGCTTCTGGTCATTTTCGGGACTGTACGGAAATTATTAGTCGGGGCCAGAAAAGAGGAGGTTGTTCTTATTGTCTCAATGTTTTGAAAGAGCAGAAAGGGGGTCTTGCATTTTTTTCTCTCCCTATATTTATAATTTAAGTCATGCTTTGCTTGTGAGATTTTTCATAAAAAAAAGATTGAATAGTCGCATCAAAATAGTTACGTCCAAAAATGCTTTTTGTGTGTGTCATGGACCGTAACTGAGTTTTACCATATGCAGAGGACATACATTTTTGTATCTGTATTGTGGCTTCATTTTCCAATTTGCATATTAAATAGTAGTGGCTGGTAGAACCATGAAACATAACAATAGACAGAGATCTTCATAGTCAGTAGGAGTTTGAACATTATTGCCCGTGCCCCACTCATTTATTCAGTGACGATGGTGATAACTGTTCATCAACACACCATTTGTTGTATTTCTTTAATTCTCAGCTTAAAATTGGGGATAAATTTAGTTTTGTGGGGGAGTGTGTTGCAATATATTCAAAGGTTAAGTGAAGCTTCCAAAGGAAATGTTAATAAGCCTGTGTTGTGTTTCCAAGTCAGCCATAAGATTCATTTTGTACATTTCTTAGTTGTAAATCATGATGAATGGATGAATGGGAATGTAAAGAAAGGGAAACTCAAAGGGGTGTGAGCACAATATGAAAGGCTTGGATGAAATATATAAGAGAGCGGAACGGCGCGTGAGAAGTTAAGGTGAAGTTGCTGGAGCTACAATGTAACAAATACACTTCAGTTTAGATAACAAAGCCAATAGATTGTGGTGAGTCTGTTATTGTGCTTGGATTTGTTTTTTATATATCCCGTAATACATCATACCATTTAATTCTGTGATCGATCTTTGTCTGTAAAACTAGATGGGATTGTCCTCCGGAGAGCTCTTAGAGACATGCTTGTGGTGAAGGGCTGTAAAAATACATGAGGGACTTCGTGGCAGCTCCCGCCCTCTGGAGGTGTTCTGCTTTTATGGTGGCAGCCCCAAGACACTAAGAGGCGCACTCCATCTTCTTTTTATCAGAGCATCCCATTGTGAATTAAATATACAGCATCATCCATTAAACTGTTTGTGAGCAAACCCTTTCGGGAAAGGTGAATCAAACAATGGACACTATCGTCAAAATTCACAACTGCATCCATTTAACCTCAAGTCCAGAGCCGAGGTTTTCTTTAAATGCTGCTTCGAGGGCAGGGTGCTGAATAAACTGCCCTGTTACAGCATAGCCATGTCTTCAGGCAAGCGGGCGGCATGTTTGGGAGCTTTTTTTAAACCTCATTTAAATAAGTGGCTCTATTTGTCTCCAACAAGAAATCTGCTCAAGCAGAGAAGTTTATCGCATTTATACGATTCCCCAACCCATACCTGTTTATTTCTGTCTGACGTGATTTGTCACTTGAACAACTGTGCATTGTGCTGAAGACTCGCTGGAAATTGCAAGATGCAGTTTAACGACTTCAAACAGTCCCTTCTATTTTATGCAATCCATTTGCTGTAGGTACCATCAGATTCTATAAAGCATAGGAGAGGACTAGACTGTTCTAGATAAATGGGTCAGATACGGTGCAGCTAGACTATTGAAAACTCAGTCTTTTTTGCCTCCCTGTGGCAATCTGTCTCGGTTTACCTTTCGACCACGCCAGCATTGGAGCCTCAGGACTTTAAACTCACTCATAAAAACATCGCTACACTCAAAAAAACTTCCCAGGGTACCTTTAAGTTACTCTTTAATGAGAACCTCCTTCTCAGAATAAAATACTATGTATGTGTGTGCATGTGTATACTAGGAATGTGTATCTACACAGTATTCAATGCAGAGTCAAACTAAAGTTTTGGAAAATCAGTAGATTTCTAGCATTTACAATCAAAATGTTCAGAGTCACTTGAGGGTAAGAGGCAATTATTTCCCCCTGACCCTGCCTGCAGCCTTTTCCAAAAGTTTCTAAACTAAACTTGTTCTTTAACCTTACCCGAGCAGCCTACCCCCAAGCTATAAGCCCAAAAGCTCCTTACAGTTAAGTGGTAAGTAGGAGCAAAGTTTTCTCACTCGTCCTGCAAAGACATCACTATACACATCGGGTACATGTACGTAAATACAGAAAACACACGCACTTACCGACAGCCATCATGTAGTCCCATCGATCCAGTAGACACATGCTGAACTGCAGCCCCTCTGGGGTGAGGCCTGCAGCGATCATGGCCCGACTCAGCTCGGGGTTCTGGCACACGGAGGAGGTCCAGGCCACCAGGAACCACAGCACCACCAGCAGGATCACCACCAGGAGCCGCAGTACCCGCCAGCTGGTCATGTAAGGCGTCCTCTGGGCCGTGCGGGACAGGAACACCTTTAACACCCTGAGAGAGAGGAGGAGGAGGAGGACAACATGAGCCTGAATACTTGAGACTGCTGAGTGAAATCATGATGAGCAGTGTAGGTGAGTCAGAGATTCTCTCCATGCGATTGACAACTCACACCCCCGCCTGTTGCTCTTGCAAACACACCAACTTGAATTAAAAGGATCAGGGAGAAAAGGGCGCCGTTATCTAATTTCATTCAGGTTTGATTAAATGATGTTGTGATATGTCTTGTCCTGACAGGAGAATCAAATGAATGTAGAAGACTGAGAGTAGAATGAGGTTACAGATTATTTATTTTTTTCAATCCAAATTTAACAAATTGGAATTTTCTTATGGGTGTCAGTTTTTTTTAAACTTTTCAGCTTAGAGGTGGTCCAACAAATGCGATTGGAGCTAACATATTAGACTGCAGAGGCAGTTTATTTGTAAGCTGCACAGTATCCTCACTGCATTCACACAAGACAACTCTGCCTCTGTAAAGGGAATTAAAAATGCAACACATCAGCCAGAATAGTTTCAAAGGGATTTGATGCTGGGTAAGGAGAGCTATAGGGGACAGAGATGAAGTTATATAGATATCCCCATCTACACAAACAGTCACTTCTCCGTTTACTATCCACTCTACACTGTGCTCATCTTCCCTCGCGACCAGAGTGTGACAAATCTATCTTATCTCTGATATATATTCAGTGAGACCAGGCTATAAGAGCTTGGCCTTGGGGCACACTTGAAACCCAGCGAGCCCGGAAAAAAAATCAAAATGGTAATTTTGCCAAGGGAACACTCTGGGCGGCCTTTGACCCCCCTTCTACCATCTTGCCAACACTTGCTCGGAGCAGGAGAGCAGGACGAGAGTATGTGTCTTAATAGATACTTCAGCAGGCAGATGCAGATAGACCTTACCTAATGGGAAATAAAAATGTGCTTATTGACAGCATGCATGTGTGTGCGTGCAGACTGAGAGGGAGAGGAATAATTAAAACACTACGGCTGACTCAAAGGGCAAGTTAATATCTGGAGAGGAGACAGGAAGAAAGAAGGGGGGAGAATATGAGGTGATTAGAGGAAAAAGAGAGGCGACGGAACGACACAAGGAGAGGAATATAGGATAGGAACTAAGAAGAATAAAGATGAGGAGTCAAGGAGATGGAAAGAAAGGAGAGATAAGGGGACAAGGAGATGAGAAGATAGAAAGAGAAGCAGAGCAGAGACAAAATTAGATGAGGAGAAGAGGAAGGGAAATTAAATGGAAAGAGAGGAGATAGGAGAAGGGAAGAGGTTTTTTTGATACAACATACAGGAAATGTCATTTCTCATATGATCACTCTTTAATTCCAATAATTTGAGTGTACAGTACCTGTACAGCTTGAGGATGACAGTGCCGTACATGACAGCGAAACCCAGGAGGCGAACCCACCTCAGGAGGATGCACCGAAACACACTGGGATGGAAGTACATGATCATCACCTGCAGAGTGTTGCAACAGTTAGTGTTCACACTGATAGACACAGACTTTATACATGTATTTATTTTAATTTTTTTCTCCCCCACTCCTGTCACAGTCCTCTCATGCTCACACAGAAGGAATCGGTAATGAAAACAGGTCTCCAGCATGTGATAACCAGAGCCGGAGGCAGATTTGGCCTCGCTGATATCCTACGCTTCCAGAGCTCCCGCTGGCATCTTTTAACTGCACGTTGTTCATATGTCAGCTTCCAGAACAAACTATGAGAGTTTGAAGGGTTAGTTCTTATCTCACTGGTGGTACTTTAAAAAGCGGCTGCATCGAGTATTTGCAGGTTAATTTGTATCAACACAGTGCGTAGACTCTCGCATGCTTCTGATTGTGCACGTGTACGCTCATTTTTGATCTCTGTGTGATTTGAAATATATAAAACGGAGAATTTGCCGGTGGCTCACAAAACGTCAGCCTTTCATTTCCTTCTTGGTGTGAGCACCTATTACTGTTAAAGATAAGGCTGTGACAGGCGGACGCGACATGTCTCATGTCAAGCTGTGAAGATCCGAGCTTCCATTTTTGAGCTTCTGTTGCTGCTGTGTTTTATTTCATTAGCGTGTACCTCAGAGGGGACGCCCCACATCAAATCTCCAGTGACCCGAAGATCCAGTGCAGTGACTCTATTCTCATTTCCACTGAAGCAAAGAAAACCTGCTGCTTTACTCACCTGGCGGATACACATCCTCCAAGAATGACTCCTTCCTGAGTCAGTCTTGCTGTTTTTAAATATGCTCCGCATCAATTCACACAAAGCATACACAGGTTCTCAAGTTTTAACCTTGATGATTACAGACTGCTGAGAGCAGTGTTCCACATGTAAGTCACCCGATGGATGATGAATATAATACTACAAATCTGTAATCCTTTCTCATATAAGAATTTTTATGATGGTCATCTTTATACCAGCTCCCAAATTGTACAAATTCTGAGTTCAAATTCCATACCTCTGAGATGTGCTTTAACTGAGTTCTCTAAGCCAGCAGTGAACCATGTAGCCGACACCGAAGTACGGAGGAAAACTTCTCCTGCTCCTTTTGTAAAATGTCAAAAAAAAGAGACGGGGGCTGGATCACGGTGCCTCCCGCTTTGCACTCTCCAACCAGCCAGTATTTTTGACTTAGATATTTCAATTTTTATCTTGTATGAAACAGAATATGAGGTACAAAAAAAAGCTGAGCTCTTGTGGTGAAGCTGCTTGTTCCATTAATAGCAAATAGACATATTCTTAAAGCCAGAGTTCCAGGTTGGCACAACTAGATTTCTTTTTAACGAGTATGATTATCTCTTCTGGAGCAACACACTGCACCAATTTACTGTCATATCTGTATTACTGTACATTTCATATAGTCTCTATACTTTTGCACATTTCCTTTTCAATATTTTGCTCATTCCTGCACAAAACGATGCAGCTCTTTCTGTTTAAAACGGATATACTGTACGTATTGTGTTTAGTATATTTCATATTTTTATCGTACATTCTACTATATTTATGTTCCTTGGCTTTTACGGTACTTGATTTTATATTCATTGTCTCTTGCTATGTTTATTGCTATAGCACTTAAACACCAAGGTATATTCCTTATCCTGATCCATAAACTGGAAGTTATAGTTAACCATGAGGCCAGGATATCATTTCAAATGCAGTAAAAACGCATTCCAGAGATGTACAGCCAGACGTTCATCCCAGCTCCTATGATGCCTTGGCATTCAAGAGCATACAAACGGCACCTGTAACCTCTTTCCCTCAGTAAAGAAGCAGAACATCTGTGGCAAACTCCACTAAGAAACCAGCCAACCCTGAGGCTGCAAGTCTGGGTGTAAGATATCTTCACAGAATGGGGAAACTAATGTGTGTACTACGGCCTCAGCAATCGAGTATTTTAGTAATCAAATACTCTACCGATTATTCCATCGATTTAATAGAGTTGTCGGACAAAAAAAATGCAGCTATAGTAAATATACGAAAGAGAAAATAAGACGATAACTAATTGGTCCCAATTTTAGAAAAAGCAACATTGCTTAAATTGCATACGATGTATCCATTGAAAGTAAACTAGTTAGCTGCTAAGCTAGCAGGAGTAAAGATGCTAACTGCTCAGCTGTAGGTTGCTAGCTAGAGTTACTTGAACTGTATTGGTAGCATCGCCCAACAGAGCAGTCTCTTTAGGTTAGCTTGAGTGACTAGTGGAGAAGTGTGACAAGTCACGGTGACCCGGAGCCATGTGGGTACTCCGATGAAGAGAAGTCTGTTGGGCTGTTCAGATACCACAAGGTCGAAGAGCGCCATTCCTGACCAGAACCGCTGCCGTATTCTCTCGAACCACGAACTGTTTCTCCAGGACTGACGCCAAACTGTGAGTTGGACTTGGTGTTTTTGCGCCGTTAAGGGTAAGAATTCTGTCGGCCTCACTCGAGCAACACCCGGGCCTTTTGCGTGTGTGAGACTGGTGTTTAGAGTCCAACGTTTGTTAAGAATGTTAGCCGTTTGCTTTAGGAAAGTAACGGTTAAAGGGGTGAGAAAAGGGGACTTTGCCAAAGAAACCTGAGATGATTTAAGTTGTGTGTAATACTATTTTGGTATAAGCCAATTCCATTTTGCATTTTGTTTTTTAGGTAATTAATTGCTAATTTATTGTTTATATTATTAGTAGGTTACTATTTGTTATTTTAAAGGAGTCTAATTTGTGTTTTTGTTATGTTTTTTTCAACATAAAGTGTAAATATATTTTAAACATTTTAAAAAGCAGTCAGTAAACTATTGTTCCTTTTCATTCCAAATACTTGTCTGGAGGCAGTTATTCATAATAGAGCACAGTCTACATAAATAGAATAAATAGATCCACTGTTGAGTTTATCAGTGTCTCAGTTTAGCTGTAGGGTTATGCAAGTTTCACCCAAATCAGATGAAACTTTGTGATAGCTATCTTAGGAAACCAAACCCAAACACTCCATCATTTCAGTTTAAAGTTAGTTACAGCAACTTGGTTATACTATTGAGTGTTGTGTGTTTTGCTACATGTGTAATTGTATACTATATGTGACCTCCAACAGAAATGCAGAGTAAATGGTGTGATTTAAAAAAGACAAAGCGATGAAATAACTAACTTTTCTATTCTGGAGGTTAAAACTAGATTCTCAAGATGACACATAGTGAATATGTATTGAAGTAATGTCACAGCAATATAAACAATTAAGTGATCTAGCTTGTATCTTGCTTTCATTTTCACATTTTTTGCCATGTTTGTTTGTATAATCTATTGACAAAACTGACAGCAGTATCACCCATTCTACCAAAATGTGGCTGAGTGTGTAATTAAACTGTCATAACGTCCCTATTCCAGCCTTCAGTCTGTCCACTCTCAGTTCAGCTATGCCATATAGACATTTCTCTCACTTCCTGACCAAGAATGTGTCACACAGAGTCGAAGCCGTTTCCTTGCAGACACAATCACCATCAAAACCTTGCGGTGACAAAGTCCGTCATTGGTATGCTGGTCATGAGAATGAGGAGACCCAAGTCCATTTTATCATAAGAACAGGAATAATACAGGTGGTTCCTTTTTAGTGCTCTGCTACTGACTGTGAGTCACTGTTGCAGCTCACAATCTGATCAATTATTTGACATATGGTTTTAATTTTGAAAAGAAATTGCAACCAAATAATTATTCTCTCCATATTTCAGACAGACAGATTTTCAAAATGAGAGTGATTTTGTGGAAGACATCCTTGACGTGATTCATAGCTTTAATATTAATAATGTGCTTTACTGAAAGAAGAGAAGTTGGGTAAGAATCACATGATATCCATCTCATGTCTGTGTTTAAGTATGGAGCTAGAACCAGGAAGCGCTTGGCATAAAGATCCACTGGGAAACATCTAGCTCTGTCCAAAGTTTCAAATTCTTTCTACCAACACCTTTAAAGCTCATTCATTCATTTGTTTAATTCGTACACAAACGGAGGTATAAAAAAAACAAACAATCTGTGTCTTTATGAGCCAAACTATTTCTTGGCTAGCAACAATCGGGTGCAGTGACTGTGTGCAGACTCTCGTTTGTGAGGTTGCCATGTTTCGTACCATTGTGCCAGCAGCACCAACGTAATCTGCCAGATACTGCCCGTCAACCCACAGAGAGGTGCTGTTCTGACTGATAGACGCTTGTTTGTCAAGAAATAATTACAGTGCGTAATCCCCCCTACATGTCATTGTTTTTACGGAGGAAGCAACCAAGACGCAATGTTTTAGTCAGCTTTAGACGTATTGAGAGGTGTGCCAGGCTAACTATTTACCCCTGTTTCCAGTCTTTATACTAAGCTATGCTAACCAGGCCCGTGGCTCTAGCTCCATACCTAACACACAGACATGAGCCTGGTATCAACCTTTTCATCTTGGTCTCAGAAAGAAAGCATTGAGTGTATTTCATAAAATATTGAGGTATTCTTTTAAATCTGCATTAATTGATTTTGTGTCCACTTTATGGGGCAATGCAACAAGCTGTATACACATCAACATCATCGTTGTATTACCCTGTAAAGCTGATATGGTGGACGTTTTAGGAAACTGACTTATTTACAGATTAAGCAGATGCAGAGCAACATTTGGGCTTACTGGCCACCTGATGAATATCAGGCCAATATTGACTCTCCTTTGAGCTCACTTTTAGTCTCCACCAACTCCTGAGGGCAATATCTTGTTCACCAGCTAGTCGCTAACTTTGTCTGTCTCTGTGTGTTTGTCACATTACGTGTAGTCTTTTGATCTCTTGTTAATATACCAATATTTATTAGAGTAGCTTTAAGCATTATGTATCTTTTTAGTACGTAGAAATGCATTTGACAATTGATTTGATAATTGAACAAAACACATTTGTTCCATTTTTCCTCAACGTGACACTTGAATGAAGTAATTGCAACTGTTAGTGCTGAAACAAATAATAGAACAGACATATACACAAAGAAATAAATGCGTTAACAGATTAACAGACCAGATGCTGCCAAGCCTTAAGGGTGCAACAATTCACCGTGCACTTATGTTAACCTGCGGTTAGGATTAGCATCCTGCTTGGCACCTTCATCTCTTTGCCTCCTGAGCAAACAATCCTGCCTCCCAGCTCTCTGGTATAGCCTACATGACAGACAAAAACAATAAATCACCTCCACAAATGCGAGGTAAAAGTAGGCCACGCTGTTTCTTACACCCACATACCAATGCAGAAATGCAAATCCCTGTACATATGCACAAGAACACATTCATGTGAAGATATAAAGCCACTCCATGCTGCCCATAAACACAGACACAAACACACCCTTTCTGCAGTGCTACCCATGTGGACTACAAAGTCACAGGGGATTGCACAATAAAAAGCCACAATTTTATATCGCCCAGAAGAGAAGGTGGCCCTCCTGGTTTGCATCCAACCTCCCATGCCTCCACCATCAATTAATCAGCAGATGTATTTTTAAAACAAGTTGTGCTAGAACTTGATGGACTGTTAAAAAATGCATCGAGCACCAGAGCGGAGCAGCTGCGCCAAGCTCAGCCGAGGAGGCTGGTTGTGGCTGCAACAAAGAAACGGCAGCAGCAACAAACGTTGAGACTGCGGGAGAGGAGACAAGACACAAAGGTGGGACGGCGAGAGAACACGCAGAGGGGTAATGAAAGTAAAACATGGGGGAAGGGTGGACAGGGAAAAGGTATAGTCTCAGGCAGGCAAGGTGCTTGGAACTGAAGGGGGGGGGGGAAGCTTGAGTTACAGCAGAGCAAAGGGAGGAAGAGGCTTTTGATTGTATCAGAGTGTGTGTGAACATAACAGAGTGGCAGGATATTTTTGGGGAGGTTTTATGTGGTACTCGAGTTATCCTTGGTGTAAATGGAGGAGAGGGTGGATGCAAAATCAAATCCATTTTGAGCATCGCACCTAAAGTTGGCCGATATTGAAACTCCCCCAACTGACAATATTGCTTTAAAAATATATATATATAGATACGAAATTGTCGTATCTATTTATATACGCACGTTGATATGAATAGTTATGGCCTTGAGACGCATATGTTGCAACACCTGTAAGTCACCACAGCATATAGGCAGTAAGAGCTATTTGACCCACGAGCATACTGAGATCAGTAATTGGGATCAATCAACCCGTAGTAACTGGTGCAGTGATTGTCACGGTTATATTTGCTAAAGCCCTGATGATTGTGAGAGTTTTGGTCCGGCTGCTCTTCGTGGGTGCGTCGGTGGCAGACTATTTTGTTGGCTGGTGAGCTGTAAGTTCCTAATGGAGATCTGTGGTGTCTTCATCTTTAGTCCCCACTTGTTAATCGCCCAGCTTAAAAATCACTTAGCTCTTCTTTTTCATTTTGTTTAAAACCTAAGAATCACAGTAGAAATATATACGCCAAGTGTGGTCACTCCAGGACAAACCTAGAATACCTGCGGCTCTTTATCTGCTGCACCAAAACTATCAGGCTTTCCATTCTAATGCAAATGTATTTCTTACGGTAACCCTTCAGTAACTTTAGAATGAGGACAAAGTCCTTTATCCCAAGAGTCAGCCAAGCACTCTGAAGTTTTTTTCTTCTCAACAGATTGTTTCTCCTTTTTTTAAAAATGGCTACCATCCAGCCATCAGGCCCTGTGTTTGAGGAGAGCAGTGGCACACTGTTCACATTCTGTGCAAGTATTTGAAGGGGGCAAATTCCCCAGTTACGTCTGATCTCCCTATTACATGGCGCTCGGGTTTCTTCCATCTGTTCTCCTGCTAAAGATGGGCTTCTGACGCAGTGCTCCAGGTGCACTGTGGGCTGTGTACACAAGTGCAAATACACACCTATACGGTGCACGCTGGCACCTAACTGGACAGGTTTACACATTCAGACAACAGAAAGGCTGGCAGAGGCACACGCACAAAAAGACACACTCGTACTGATCATGCACACCAACTCTTTGTTTTTGTCCAGACAATGATCATAAGTACAGTACTGTAACAGCACCTAGCTGCAGCAGAAGAAGTAGGAGGCAAGGTTTACTGCCTTATTTACACACTAATATATTCAGGACAGGAATCCTTTTTTAATAAAAGTAATGTGATAGACTGACTAAATGACTGAGTAGATTGTGGGTGCTTTAAGATCAGAACACAGACTTACTGGGAAGTAGAGCAGTAAAGACCCAAACAAGATGGCTTCCAGTAGAATCAGACCAGATGCGCGGATGTTCTGTTTTGGGGAAAGAGACACAAAAGAAAAAAAAGATCAATTAATCAATCACTTACAGGGAAAAGGTGATGCCTTTAGTTTAGTTAAAAGTTTCCTCAGCTTTGTGGATTGGCACCAAGTCATGAACTGCAACATGGCAAACATGTCAAAAATAATGCATCAATTCTTGTTGCTGTAAATCTTTTATCGCTGTTTGTTTTAACAGAGTACTGTGAGAAGTTGTGGCTCCAGCTTCTTTGCCATTGCAGGTCGTTGCCTCTTTCAAAGCAAACAGAGAGGAGTTGAATATATAAACATTAGCATGTATACATATACTTGCTAATGTTTTGCCTTCCCCTAAAACAAGAATATAAGTGACGATAGCCGCTTTTCTGGGTTGGATCCACATTACCTCTTATTAAAGGACTTTCAATGTTTTTTTTATGTAAATTCAAAGGGCTCCGGGGACATTTCTTGTGAACTGAAGAAATGTAGGAGATTTTGAGGCAACAACGCACAAATGTCTATAAATAGCACACCGGGAAAGATTGGACTGAACTTTGCCTGAGGAGGGGTTGTAATAATTCTACACCGTGAGGATCTCATATTTATTTCACTTAATTCTATGAAAGTCTATTCTGAGCAAAAGCTTTTTCCTCTGGGATTAGATAAAGGCTGACTGGAACACTTCGAAGCTCCTACCGTTGCCATGATAATCAATGTCAAAATCAGGATTCGAATGCCTCATTTATATTTTTATACAATACCCCCAAAAGTCCCCTAATTCCCTTGAAATAAGGAAGAGCAGTCACACATTATTTATTATGCATCAACATTATTATTATGTGCCGTTGTGTGTAGAAGGTTTGTGTGTAGAGCTAAACCAGGTTTTTAAAATGTTAAATGTTGGCATAGGCTACAGTTTACTGTATGTATTTATTCATTTGTTTTTGCTATTACTGTAATTAATTTGATGGTAACTTTACACATTTTGTGGCCATTTTCGTTTCAATAAAAGTAAAATCCTTTTGTCCTCATCTTTCATTAGACGTTAATAGCAAAGTAAAATGGGAAGCTAAGCCACTGCACAATGCACTACTACTACTACTACTAAATGAAACATTCAGTAGGTTTTAACTGTATTCTCATTGAGTTCGGGAACTCATGAATGACAGATTATTATTTTTTTTAAATGGCTAAAATCCAAGCAACAGAAGATGAGATTTTTTGACTTTTAGTCCAAAGTATGAGTCAATCTCCAAAAGTTGGATCCTACAATTCCCATAATGCAGTTCAATACTAGCTTTTGTAGATAGGAATTAAGTAGGGCGATCAGAAAACTGTTGTTGTATTGTACTGGCAGGGAACAATAACCTTTACATTTCCAATCACATGCACAAACTTTAAGTGCCGTTTCCCTTTGAATTCACAGCATTTGCCCCCACCCCCACCTTCTTCCTCCTGAAGTGGTATACCACCACCATGCAGGCCAGGTCCAGCACCATGCACAGACCCTGGAAGGAGGCCACAGCGAGCCGCAGGGCACCGTCCTCCTGCACCAGGCAGGGTGTGTCGTCTCGGCAGTAGGGGCAGCCCTCGCGGCACGGCAGGCACTTACTGGACACGTCGGACGTCTCTTCTCTGTTCCAGCCCTGCTCCTTACCTGAGGACACGACAGCACTTTAGTTGACAATCACAACACTAAATGTTGTTGTTTATTTGCATACTATATATTACTGCAAAGCAGATGTATTTGTCTTCTAACCGATGAAAGACAGCCTTTTGTTTTCAAGGATTGTCAATGTAATTCATTTGGTTCAGCTCTCACACAGTGACTCCTCATTAAATGCTCAGTCAATCAATGTGAAGGAATCAAAATCATCAATCCAATAAATCACAAAGCCTTGGGGGTGATAATTACAAGAACACAGCCTTTAATTAGGCAGATGAGGGAATAATGAAGGAGAGGATGACATGGCTCCCTTCATCACTCTGGTCTGCATAATTGTTGTTATACCAGCATGTGGCACATTTTTCGAACATCTCATTTGAGAGTGTTCACATTAGCATGGATGTGTTATGTTATGTGCCTTTGAAACCAAAATGTATTCAATTACAAGTAAAGAAAGGACAGGCGATGCCAAAAAAAAATCTGTTTTTCATTCTGTGACATTTCTGCTGTGGCAGGATTTGTAGTCAATCTGTAGTCCAAATCACACATTTTCACCACACACACACACACACACACACACACACACACACACACACACACACGGTGCAGCTCTTCTTGAAACATGATGCTTGATAAACATGTAAGTCCCAGAGCTCATTCACTGTGCAAACACTGCTTAAGTTGTACAGCGCTTCAGTAGACCTTGATTGCTAGGTAATGATTAAACAAATTAAGTGGGAATCTACTGGACATTTATGGACATAATGATAGACATTAAAGACAAATTATCAATCATGCAGTCACAGATTTAAGAAACCACACAAGGTGGCTTTGTTTTTCCAGTTAGTCTCGTGTGATTTAGAGTTTGGAAAAGAAGGGAAGGAGGTGACTCGCTCTTCCCCCTTTACTGTCTTTTGCCTTTTTGCTGTGAATTCCAGTTAAGCCGTTTATCTTCTCTGGTATTGATGATATTCACACAATGTGAGTTTCATTGGTGTGACGCAAAGCTGCCTGGACTGTTGCTGAACAGACCAAAGTCTATTTTTTTCCTGCCACTGTTTCATAATGAACCCAAAATATTTTTACACTTTTTTTAAGGGGTGGGCCAGGTGATTCCACACCTCTCCGTTTGGGGGCAGTGGTCAACACGAAAAGTAGTTTTTGTACCTGCATGAATAACAAAAGTGGAACCAAAAAAAAAAATCATAATCTCAAGAAGGAAAACCTCCTGCTTAGCTCAGAGTGCAGAATTAGCTATTAACTCCAGCTACCTGGTGAAGGGGTGAAGTACTGAAAGGTGGTGAAAAGTTTTGCACAGAACCTGGTGAGGAATGGCTTATTTAAGTCCAAGTGAGACCGTCTTCATCTTCAATGTTGCTAAAAGTTGCGCATTGATTGACGAATGGATGCGATGATATCATTGCTTGAAACAGTCGGTACTAATTTACCAAAGCACATTTGATATTTTGTTTTACAGGAAGAAAAGATGATTGGATTCTGATGATGAGATTTTTCTTGAGTATATTGTTAAATAGGTGCACAATATGACCGGGGATGTGATCTAAAATGGTGAAAAAGGGCTTGATTTTAATGAATTGTGCAAACATTTGTCAGTTTGATGTGTTTGTTTTATTATCTAAATTGTCTTTTAAGCCTAACTTCTATGTTTAGACACAGATCCATCTATCTGATAGAGGATCTCCAGCAAAAGTGTCATTGTGACATTCTAATGAAATGTCATGTTTCATGAGGTTCTACTGCACATTTCAGAATAATTCATTGTTTTTGCTGTTTTTCTCCCTCCATCTTTTCTCCCCTTTGATATCTGTCCTATTGGCCTGTTGCTAGGAAACAATACAAAATCTATTTCCAGTCTGGTCTGTTTTTTGGGATGCACGAGGAATAACAGGCAGGTTCCAGTGGGGCGAAATTAGGGTCGCAAACTACTGCGACCCAATCTGAACCGCAGGGATTTGTAATGACTGGGTCTGCGTTGGGTCTCTTCACAGACTGAGGAGACTCATCGCGCTGCATTACAATAAAGCTCCTGCTTAGCATATCATCCCCCTCGGGGTGCTGTATTGTTGGAGTCGGGGATGAAAAACCACAGCAGTTGCTTAATTATCTCGCTCATCAGGGCCAAGCTTTGTGCCCGAGGACACTGCAACGCTTTCAGTCAAAGTGTCAGAATACAGGCGTTCACAACCAAAGCAGGAGCATGAAGGTAAAGTTAAGGAGAACAGGTCCAAAAACAAGTTGTGTGCACATGTTCAGATGTATACGTTTTCAGCCCATATTCATTGTGTCTGTCTGACAATATCAATTGACGATAAGATAAACCTCTCCCTCGAACAGTGATTGTCCAATCATAGTTTAGCAAAACTGGATTTCTCCAAAGCAGCTCCGGCCAAACTCGAAGTGTCATTGGTCGTTTCTCATCGTGGAATACTTTTCTCTTGTAAAAGAGGTGCAAACTGTTATTGAACTACAGTTTAAAATCTAAGCAACAAAGTGCACAAACCATGAATAAAAAATTTGTATTACATTTTTACAAATACAATATCGAGATAAATATCTTTACCCCCAGATTAACGATACTGCTGCTTCATTTCCATGTCTTCTACAGAGTTCAGCTGGAAACATTAAAAAGCAAAATTTAGTTTCGGTGTTAGCATTAGCTTATGCTAGCTACAGCTGAAAAAATCTGATGGCGACATTTGTCATTTCAGCCGACGAAAATCCATAGTTGTTGACTTCTGTTACTTTGGGTGAAATCAAAGATCCTTTTTTTTAAATGACTAAGAAATTTAAATAGTAAATCTGCCGTTATGAGCCGCATGTCAATTAAAGTGTGACTAATCCTTTATTCAAGTTTTTTTCCATCAACATGCGTTCTCTGTCGACAGTACACAGCCACCTTATACTCCAACAGGTCTGTAATTGAGAAGCCACCAGTGTCTCCCACCAGAACTCAGAATAGAAACATAGTAGACGTTTCCACAACAAGAACAGTCACAATCCTTTGAATGAAGCTTGAGCTTTCATAACCTCACAGGCCCCAGGATACCCATTCAAAGACAGAAGAAGAAGTTGAAACAAAATGTGTCACTGTCGGCTGAAAAAAAATGATGCTTTTTTTTCTTCAAAGTTTTGATCTGACAGCTCACTGCAATATGTTTTTTTTATATCACAGAGGGATTTTTAACCTACTTTTGAAGCCATTGAGCACCACTCGGCTGGGATGGTAGAATCCTCTCCTGCACTGGCACTTGTACTTGTCCAACACAAATCCATGGCCGACGATGGGAGTGCACTGGGAGAAAGAAAAAGACAGGTGGATATTGAAACAGTGTTGGTTGTAAATAGAATATCACAGGAGTTAGTTGCATGGGGGCAAAAGTGAGAAGCATAAATGGAAATTCCGTGAAAGTGAAACAACAGGATGGAGGAGGATGACTGGGTGACTAAGCCGATGTAGCTTTGTTTTGCTTCTTCAATCCAAAAGCAAGTGGGAGTAAAGTGATGACATTCTTTTCTGGTATTTAGGTTAATATAGGACACAACAACAAAATCTGTACAAAACAAAAGCTGTGAAATTAGATATTGCATTGTAATAAGCCTATTACAAAATGTACTATTTTATTGTTTATTAAATTGAATATTTGAGGCTCTTCATTCTTTTCTGAAATTGCATAGGCCAAATACGAGACAATACTCTGTAGAGTAATACAATATAATTGTTAGTTGAAGCTCTGCAGTAATAAAGAGCCAATTATATCATCAAGAAATGAAAATGAACCACAATATACGTCAAGAAAGCATGAGGTCTAAATTAGAGTCGCTGTGTTGATTGTTCTCTTCACACATTCATTCATATTTTTAGCATTTCTTGTTCCAAGGTATGCCTTAAAATGCCTCTTGAGTAAATGAGATTTGCATTTGCAGTAAATATTGTCAAGAAATGGATGATACACGAGTTTACAAATTGAGAATGCTGTAACATTTATAATGTAAAGAGCTAGACGTAATCTACAGTGCTTTACAACCTTTATCTTTTTACTGAAATCAAATAATTTGAATGTTATGCAGGGTCTCAGTGCTGTCGTTACAAACTGACGTGAGTACAGTCCTATGTGTTTTCACTTCCGGCTGATGATTACGCTCCCCGCCAGGTCCCTGCAGTGGTCCCAGTTAATGAACTTGTTTCAATCATGTTATTGAGTCTCCTCCATCGTTTACATGCTCCTCTGCAGCGTGAAGCAGAAGACGCTCCAGTTATAAACATGCGTGGTGTCAGGGGAAATCACAGGGCTTTGCCAAGTAACAGGGAAACTAATTAATATCTAAATTAAGAATTAAGGGTTGTTTGCAGAATTTAGGCGTGTCTGCATAATTCCACTTTGCATTGATAACTGCAAGAGCTCTATGGGCTTACACACCATCTGGAGCAAAAATACATTCGCATCTAAAGGCACACGTCCCTGTACTTAAATAAAGCTGCAATAAATTTGACATGAATGTTCATAAATAGTGCATCGCCTGCTTACAATACAAACAGTATATCTTCTCTCGGACGGCTGCTGGAGAACAGCAGGACTACATTCATACTGAATCTGTGACAGTCGCTGGTCTTTATATATGTTTCTGATTTTCAAATCAGAGCCCCTGCTGAAGGAATGGACATTTTGGGAAATATGCGTATTCACTTTCTTGAGTGTTCGATGAGAAAATCGATACCATTCTCATGTTTGTGCGCTAAGTATGGAGCTACATGTACCGGCAGCCATGAGGCAATTAGCTTAGTGTGGCATAAAGACTGGAGGCAGAGGAAACCAACAGCGAGCCAGGCTCAGGCTCAGCTCAGTAATGACCAACTTGTCATTTTAACAATTTACCTGTGAATGTATAAAACACAACAAAATACATTACTGCAGAGGTGTATTTTTGCACTTTCATGCTTAGCTAAACTAACTTCTTTCAGCCTCCAGCTACACTAAAGTTCACAACACGCAGTTACCATTATTTTTGAACAACAATTCAGTGTATTGTATGTATGTTCTTCACATTTGTTTTACTTTAAAGCTTCTTGCTGAACTTCTGCACAGATCAGCTTTTTTTCAAACCTGACAATCAGCCCCAAATCTCTAAACTGGGAAGCAGCAGCAGGAGGGATGAGCTGCCTATAGGGTATAAATGTGTGAACTGAAGTGCAAATGGTTGACAGAATAAACATATGGTTCTGATGAATATTTCTACTTTTTGGAAGAGAGTACTAGCTTCTTTCTTCATAAGAAAGACCATGTATCCTGATAGTGCTGCACCGTAGTTCTGTAAAGTTTATTTATAAGAAATGGATTATTCGCGCCATAACTAGCCACAAGACAAGAGTACATATTTGAGAGAATTTTGAAGCATTTTTAAATACTTGTTGCATTTCCCTGACTGAAAACATCAAATACAATCCAATACAGCATTGTAAGCTTCCTCCTGGACAACGGTTACAGAATAATTCTTTCCACCTTACAACATTCACCACCTCGCAGCCCAAGCCTTTTAATTTTTTCTGTACCTTTTCTGCCTTTCACCTTGGACACAATTTCAAAAATGTCTAAATTTCTTCAACAGTTTTTAAATCTTTTTTATGAAGGGCTATGCTTCTCTCTTTTACAACAACTTCACTGCTTCCTCCATGATGAACCTCGAGGTGAAAGTAATTCATTATGTAGATAAATGGGGATATGGCAATATGCTGATTATAATTAGCAGCCTGTCAGTTGAGAATGATTCTGATTCACGAACATACGCACAGTGGTAAGAACTAAATTGGCCGGTGTGCACGTGTCATGAATCCGACGGTAATTTTGCATGTGCAATTATTTTGTGCGCAAAGTAAGAACATTTCACACATATTAGTGAATGAGGTCCTTTTTATATAAGACCTCTCTCTCCACATGAGACATGAATAGAAATTAGTCATGAATAGAAATTAAAGAGCAAAATTCCAAACTGCCACAACAGTGAGTGCATATAGTCTGAAGACAGCTGGACACCCACACAATGGTAGGTGCTTAGCTTCTCATAGCCGGGTTGATAAATGGCTCTCTCCTGCAGGCAGATGAGTCGTGTTTCAAGTACAATCTGCATACAAAACATGAATTGGAACCCAGCAAACATAAAAAAAACAAAAACCAAGCTGCAGCTCATCTACTGCTGGAGCAAATATGTGCATGTATGTGTATTGCCTCTCAGGAGATAAGCATACCTGTAGAGTCTAAAAAAACACAGGAAGGGGGCATTTATTTGAACTAGAGTCTGCTCATTCTTTATTCTTTCAAACAAGGAATAAGGGTTTTTGCCAGGATGTTTCTACCTCTCTGAGTGAAGGAGCAGTTTGCGAGCAGAGGACTCAGCCTCCCATAGGGCCCCAAACACAATTGAAGTCCAACTTTTAAACAGAAAAGATAAGAGACATAGATGGATGGATGGATAGATGGATAGATGGAGCATACATAAAAAGCACAAATACTGTACGGCAAATTGAGAAAACTGCCCAACCACACACACACACAAACATAAACGTACACCACCAGCATTTGTTATCTACTTATTTTCTGCTTACTCCAAAGGAAGTGGATACTCATTAAGATACGACATACCCAGGGACAGTGAGGTGGGCAAGGATGAAATATGATGCTTATTTTAGACTGTGGGCTCTGTGCATCCGAATCGTTGCAATTATTAAACCTGTCTGCACTATCACAGCGGAGGCATTTACTGATTCCCAAGTGCATTTTAAAGCTCAGCAAATAAGTGTAGAAGAAATAAGTGCACATTACTATAATATCCCCATTAATTTCAACCTTGTCTGAGGCGAGTAACATTATTTCCAACCTACCTACAATACTTGAGTTTTTTTATACGTCTCTCAGAACTAGTTCAAGTGCAGCTCTCACGAGTACAATGCGGGAAACATTCATGTCACTCAGAAGATTGACAAGAAGCATCAAAACTAGATTAATGCCACCTAATACTCCTGACCTGCCTCACTAGCAAACCACTCCATATGTCGTCTATCACCAGCGCTGCTTTCTCCAGCAAATGACACACAATCATGCAGCAACACACACACACACACACACACACACACACACACACACACATCTAAAGGCAGGGGGTTTAGCTGTGCCACTTTTCCTCAGCCACCATGAAAGTACTGTGAAACGCTCGTTTGACGTGTCTCAGTTTGATGGATCACCTTCATCAGACCGCAGGCTGAAAGTGAAAAAGTATTTTATAATTGCACCTTACTTTGGATGCAGTGGGAGCTTCTAATTCCACTTTTTTTTCTAACGCTTGGCTGGCAGGGTTCAAGGTTGCATTGTCAATCACAGAAAGTGCAAACGACTTATCTTTTAAGAAGGACAGCCTGAGGAGAGGATGTTTTATTACAGAGCCCAGACCTGATCCTTCACTTTCTTAAAACAGGTATAGGTTTACCAATGGCACTTCATTATTCAGACTTTAATTATTTTTCCACATGGTGCCAAAGACGGATATTGAGCAACCAGTCATGTCAACATTCATTTGACTGTGGTTCAGGTTTTTAATCGTTGTAATCTGATAGTTGTACTGGATGAATGTGCTGGTATTCATATGTTGATGTGCATGTGTGTGATAGAGACTATAATGGTGTTGCATGTAAGTGAATGTATTTAGTGTCTGGCGATTGTTCTGCGTGTACCTCCCCAGAGACTGCAGTAAATTAGCTAGTAGCTAAATAATCTCTTCTTATTGTGAGATTAATGTGTGGTTCTTGTTTAATACAGACTAATAATAATTAAAATGCTTATTTTGAGGGGAAATAATCATTAGCATACAATAATAATGGGGTTGTAAAGGTAAACAATGTGTGAAGGTTTATGCAATACAGCAGTGGTCTTATGATATTTAGCTAACTAAGCATAAAAAAACCCACCAGTGCCCTACATTACTGAAACTGAGCGCAAACACACGAAAATAAAAATGCACTGAAAACTCGACTGAATAGCGATTTTGTTTCATTCATTTAGCTTGAAATTGTGTTTGTTAGCCAATTTTATGTCTGTAAGAGAAGCTTATCTTGTGCTGTGTTGTGATTCGGTGGTGTGTCTATTGGCTGCATTGCATTGTGGTCTTATGAGGCTGCTCTCAATTCCTGCTTTTGGACTTTTCTAAGTATAAAAGATGAATGTTGTTGATAAGTGATGGGTCTGTTGTTGCTCTTTAATTCCAAAGGACAGATTAATGCTTAAATTATACTGTTTGTTTTTGAAT